CTGACTTCTTCCAGCTCTGATCCTGGTCTGTGCTGTGCTGAAGCGGACAGCTTTCTTCCAGGCTAGCAGGCTGAAACGGCTTGGCAGAGTGTCTGGTAAGCATTGGGACTATGCAAGAGAGGCTTAGGGGGCCATGACTTTAATCCTAGGAGGTGCTATTGCAGTCATATGTCACGGATATTTGCACAGAGTGTGGAACCACTGGAGAAAAGGGCCTTGCCTCAATGGGTGGCGCAAGCGCTAAAAACTCAGTGATAACTATAGTTTTAGAGATAAATAGATGCTGTTGCTAAGCTACAGAAACAGATTGTATGATGAAGCAGGGAACATAGTAAAACATTAAAAAGGCATTTTTAGCTCAATGGGTATAAACTGGGAGTGGATGTAAAGAGTATACTGAACTTTGTGTCCAAAGAAGAGCAACGAAGCTGGTGAAGGGTCTAGAGAACAAGTCCTATGAGGAGTAGCTGAGGGAACTGGGATGGTTTAGTCTGGAGGGGGCTCAGGGTAGAACTTACTGCTCTCTTTGTTCTCTACAACTACCTGAAAGGAGGTTGTAGCGAGATGGGGGTCGGTCTCTTCTCCCAAGTAACAAGTGATAGGACAAGAGGAAATGGCCTCAAGTTGTGCCAGGGGAGATTTAGATTGGGCATTAGGAAAAATTTCTTCACCAAAAGGGTTGTCAAGCGTTGGAACAGGCTGCCCAGGGAAGCGGTGGAGTCACCTTCCCTGGAGATATTTAAAAGACATGTAGATGTCGCACTTAAGGACATGGTTTAGTGTCTGGGTAGTGCTAGTTTAACAGTTGGACTCAATTATCTTAAAGGTCTTTCTAACCTAAATGGTTCTATGATTCTATATCTTACAAGTGAGAGATGGTACTTCAGGAGAAAAACTTGCACAAGCAAGTTAGTACCTTACTCATTTGCCTTACTCTCCTTACAAGATACTGTGTGATACCAAAGTTAGATGCTATTATTGATTCCTTTTTCCTACTCAGCTCATATTTCTGATGTTTTTCTTGGCTTGCAAACAAAAGTTTAGTAGCAAAATTGTGTTCATTTAAGATAGAATACATTTCTTTATATCGTGAGGAGACATTAGGCAGTGGAAGGAGCTGCAGCTACCCATTTCTACTATCTCTTTCATTCAACCATTCATTTCAGCTTTTGGTACTAATTAATAGTCTTTTTCATGTTTCATTGGGCTAGCACTAAGACCTTAATGCGTTTATTATGTCAGATGAGTATGTAGCTATATTTGCTAGCCTGCATGGTTTACTTTCCAAAGTGTGTTGATATATGTACCTTTCACTGTAACAAGAAAAAAGTTGTCTAAATGCAGCAAGATAGCAAATGCTTATATGTAAAACTCTCGAGATGATCTTCATACACAAGGATTCTCATTTTCCTAATACCATGCCTGCTAACATGTACTGATTGCTTACAAGTGGAATCTGCAAAAGTGAGAGCACAAAGGGGTAGGTCCCAAAAACCTCTAGTAAAAGATGTGAGGAGTGCGTATGGCTTTAACTTTGACTTCAGAGTAGAACAGCAGTCCATTTGGGGTTGACATGCCTAAAATTTTCCAGGGGTTACGTGCAGACTCACAAACAGATAATTCCATAAATGCAAACTCAGGGTATTCAGTTGTGGGGTATGTGTGTTCCAGCCCAAAGACGCACGCACATCAGCTGCTTTTTAATTTTAACATCTGTGGCCAAGTGCGGCTTCAAGTTGTGAGTTTTCACCCGTCTCCTGCAGTTTGGAAAGCAGAGGATTGTGCACAAGGCATCAATCGGTGTAGTGCCCTACCATCACTGCAGTGTGCAGCGCTCACATTAGGTAAGGTGATGTTACTAATGTTCCCAACTATTAATTTTAAGGGATAGAAGCCCTTGTAATGTTAGACTGAAATGGAAATGCAATGGAGCAATTCAGAAAGGTTTTTTCCCCTCAGCAGTATTTACCAGAATTAAAGTTGAGGGCTTTGTGTATTTTGTATAGATTTTTTTTTTTTTTTTTTTTTTTTTTCCTCCAACAGTTGAGCTATATCAACCCAAGGTTTCCTTTGGTGTCAAAGATTTGCTTCAAACTTATTTCTGCTGTGATCTTGCTGTCACACATTACTTTCTTTAAGTTTCTAACACCGGTCACCTGCAGATGATCATCTCCCAGTATCACTGATTAAGGAAGCAAATAGTGCCAAATACACATATGCATATTTGAAGAAAGGTTTTACTAATGCAGGAGTTTGTGTTGTGTAGTATTTATTGTGCCAGAGGAGCAATGGTTCACCAGCATTTTCCTTCTCTTTTTCAGCTTTTTTTATTGCTTTTCGTCAGTGAGAATGGCAAGGATTCGGATTCCTAGCACAATCGTTATACTTTTTGTTACGGTTCAGACTGGATTCTTACTCTTCATGTATGCCCGGTACAGTAGCTTTGTGCCTCAGTCTGAGGAGAAACCATCTCAAGTCCACATCCTCATTCTATCCTCCTGGCGGTCAGGATCTTCTTTTGTCGGTCAACTTTTCAGCCAGCACCCCAGCGTCTTCTACCTGATGGAGCCTGCGTGGCACGTGTGGGTTACGATGTACCAGAACAGTGCCAAGGTCTTGCACATGGCTGTGCGGGACCTAGTCAGGTCGGTCTTTCTGTGTGACATGTCTGTGTTTGATGCTTACATGCCTTGGAAAAGAAACTTATCTGATCTTTTCCAGTGGGCAGTGAGTCGGGCTCTGTGTTCAGCTCCTGCTTGTGACTCCTTTCAACGTACTGACATAACCAGTGAAATGGCATGCAAGACTCTTTGTGGACGGTACCCATTCAGCAAGGTGGAGGAGGCCTGTAAAACTTACAGCCATGTTGTCATCAAGGAGGTTCGATTCTTTGACTTGAAGGTCCTCTACCCGCTTCTTACTGATCCATCCCTGAATCTCAAAATTATTCATTTGGTCCGTGACCCCAGGGCAGTCGTCAAGTCACGGGAACAATCGGTCAAAGCATTAGCCCGTGACAATGGAATTGTTTTGAGTACCAATGGCACTAAAGTGGAAGACACCAAATACAAAGTAATGCAAGAGATTTGTAGAAGTCACGTTCAGATTTATGAAACTGCCACTCTAAAACCACCTAATTTCCTTAAAGATCGCTATTTAATGATCCGTTTTGAAGATCTGGTCAGAGATCCATTATCAGAAATCTCAGAAATGTATAAATTTGCAGATCTTAGTTTGACCCCCATGCTCAAAAGCTGGATCTATAATATCACACATGGACAGGGATCAGGAAAAAAAAAGGAAGCCTTCAAAATCACATCTCGAGATGCAGTTAGTGTGTCACAGGCCTGGAGAAATGTTCTTTCCTTCCAGAAAATTAAGAAAATACAGGAAGTTTGCAAAGGTGCTATAAACATGCTTGGCTATCAGCTGGTGGATTCAGAAAAAGAACAAAGAGATCTGTCATTGGACTTAGTGTTACCAAGACGACAGAATCAATTCAGTTGGTCATCATTTAATCCAGAGCACTGAGACATTAGAGAGATCGGGGAGAGGGGATGGGGGGGAACAGATGACAACGGGGCGGGTGTAGATGGTTGAGTATTTGTCCACTGTGCAGCATACAGGTAATTTGAAAATCCTTGGCTGATGAGTTTAACTGTCTGCTGTTTTTCTGTAATGGAAGAAAGTTTTTCTCTGAGTTTCTTACAACGCAAAAAAAAAAAAAACCACAAGAAATACCGCTAGATACTTGTCAGACTGCAAATTTACCGCTGAGTTAACAGTGTTCTCAGCATTGTTTTAAAAATATAATTTAAGTACTTTCTATTAAAAGATTGTAAAAAATGTCTTTGTTCATTGATAATAGTTCACTTCTATTTTCATGCTTTAAGTATTTAAGAATCTCAGTTCTTAATTTGTATAAAAGGAACAAAGTAGAAACTAAATTACTTCGCTTTCTTCCAGAATCGCTTGACTTTCTTCTTTTGCTTTAAAGTTATTGTGCAGTTGTGTATTTTTTTTAGACTTCTCTTGATGTTTTAAAGTTTAGCATAAAAGTTCTCCCAAAGCTGAGGCAACTGCAGCAGTTCTGTTGCAACAGGCTTAAGCAGAAACTAGATTTGTTGATAGATTTCTTAGCGCATTCCCTGGAATGGCAAAGTTTGCAATCCCATACTTTAATGCAATGTTGGCATGGAGTGCAAAAAGCAAAAAAGGTGAAGAAACTTTGAATGGAATCACTGTGGAAATAGCTTGTTGATGCTGCCCCGATCATGTGTTCTAATGCTGCAACACAAAGTAGGCACACACTTGCTCCTGCAGCACAGTTCATACTATTATCCTTTCTCTTCGGAACTACGAGTTGTTAATGAAGATCACTGAGAAATTTGAGGTGCCTTGGAAATCTGCATATTGATTATACTGCTGTATGGAAGTGATCACTTCAAACAACTTTGATAGCAGAGATAGACAGTTGTGTATGGAGGTTTTGTTTGGTTTTATTTTTTTTTTAGTACAGCACATCTCAGGATGGACATGTTTAATTGATACCAGATAACCCTGTTAGGTCTAATTGAGAATGTCGTGCTCTGGCTCATTTAGGATAAGCACAAAAGCTCCTCAGTGCCACTACTGTGATCTACTGTAGGAGAGTGATGTGTTCCTAGCACTGTAGATGCTGGGAGGTGGGCCTCTTGACGCTATGTCTCCTTGGGGGTTCTCTAGGGCTGCACACGTTGCTTCTGGGGATTTTCCTAAGTGTTCCCAGAGCTATCATGGGGCATGCGGAGCTCTATTTTTATGTCTTGCTGGCTTTTCGAGGGACTTTGAGGTTATGCTGGCATCTCTGGTGCATTCCTCGGTTCTGTGGGGGCCATTTGCTTACTCAGGTTATCTGGGGCTTCTTCCCTGTGTCAGGGAATCTGGAAATTTTAGGTGGGAAGGGTATCTGTGCTGTTTTCTGTAGCACAGGACGTCTTTTGGGCTCCCCAGTACAAGAGAGGCACAGACATACTGGAGAGAGTCCAGTGAAGGGCCACTGAGGTGATGAAGGGCCTGGGGCATCTCTTACATGAGAGAAGTCTGAGAGAGCTGGAACTGTTCAGCCTGGAGAGAAGGCAGCTCGGGGGGGCAGGGGCATATCTTACTGATGTGTATAAATACCTGAAGGGAGGGTGTGAAGAAGATGAGCCAGGCTGTTTTCAGTGGTGCCCAGTGACAGGACAAGAGGCAGTGGGCACAAACTGAAGCAAAAGAGGTTCCCTCTGAACATCAGGAAACACTTTACACTATGTGGGTGACAAAGCACAGGCACAGGTTGCCCAGAGAGGTTATGGAGTCTCCCACCTGGGGATACTCAGAAGTCATCTGAACATAGTCCTGGGCAGCTGGCTGGAGGTGGCCCTGCTTGAGCAGGGAGGGGTTGGACCAGATGACCTACAAGAGATCCCTTCCCACCTCAACTGTTCTGCGATTCTGGAGTTGCTACTGTCACGTCCAGGCCCCTTAGCTACCACAAGCATGAGAAACTTGCCTCAGGCCTCAAGGCCATCCAAGTGTCTGCTACTTTACTCCAGCTGCAGTGCTTGTGAAGAAGAGGAGTGGGCAATTTTGCACTTACCAGGGCTTTTAGGGCTCAGTGGTTGTGTTGGGACAGGGTTCAGTAGTTGGGTGGTTTGGAGGGACAGTTTGAGAGGATGTCTAAAACGCCCTTGCAGGGTGGAGTAAGGCAGGATGTGCTTGGTTCTGCCTGAACGCGGGTGCCATTAGCTGCAGTGTGGGGAAAAGGTGGTCGCTCTGGAAGCCACTGTGGAAGGAAGGGATTCAGCTGTGGATGATCTGTGGTCCTAATAGTTGCTGCTGCTTCTTTCCCTCTCCCAGAGGCCATGCTGAGGACGTGGTTGTCCGTTCTTCGCCTGGGGATGCTCTTGGCTGCACCTGCTTCGGGCTTGCCTGGGTTGTCTCTCCCTGGCCTTGCTCTCCTCATGGTGTGGGGGCAAAAAGGGATGGGTGGAGCACTTACTGGCTGCGGACAGTGGACAGGAGCTGCTGCGGCTGAAGGTGGGGGGGCCCGAGGA